GAGTGTTATTTGCTATCACAAGAGGTGTTGTAAACTCTGACTTATGCAATTTGGGAAAACTCAGGTCCAGTCATAGTATTTAGAGTCAGTCTGATAAGCACAACAGGAATATGATTCTAATTCAGAAAAAGGAATCTAATCACTTGTATTATATCTTCCCTGTCTGCCCTCAGAGGTGTAGGGGCAGTCAAGATGGGGGATAGGAAAAAAGCATGAACTGACAATGTATCTATAATACTGCTGCTGTGCACATGGTTAGCTATTTGGTAGATCAGACCTTGGGTAGGAATAGATGCACCAGATGGAGAGTGGGATAACTTCAGTCATTAAGACTGCCTAACACAGTGTTTCCAAACCTGATAGGTCATCAGAATCACCTGGGATACCTGTTAAAAATACATATCCCTTGGCCCACCTTTGGAGATTCTGATTTTGAGAGTTATGAGATGGGAAATAAGTATTTTAAAATATTTCCCAGTTGATTCTTATGCATCCAGCCTAGTTCCAATCCAGAGTTATTATTTAAGATTCATCAAAATAGAACAAAACAAAATTTAAAAAAACCATCTTGCTATGATCGTAAGCCTACTAAACAATTTTCAGAGCCTGCTAAGCAATTTTCAGTGTTTTATGTGGTTTCCCATTGTAGATTTTCATCTGGGCATTGTAGTCCTTTCAGAGCATATTTCTCATTGTTAATGAATAGGTGGGTATCTGGTTTATGCATTAGTATTTTGTGAATGAGGTTTTCTGAGCCTACTCTAGGATGCATTAAACACACACACACACACACACACACACACACACACACACACACACACAAACAATACAAGTCCAAGTCTGCAGCTCTGAAGACTCTATTCTGAACTGTGGAGATCCAGTTGAGGTCTGCTTGTTACCCCCCAGACTGAAGACCAAGAATGGTCATCCTCAGGTGGCACCTCCATCTTATCTCTCTCCAGAAACAGCTAATTTCAATTCAGAAAAGTGAAGTGAGAAACAGAAAGATAAGAAATTAGGTTTGGAAATGTAAATTTAGTCTATGAGTAGTAGAGTGTTTTCATGTGAGGATGAAGTTTAATGTGTGACTGTTCCTCTGGAAAAATCAACCAAATGGAGATTGGCTTTGATTTTTACATGAGGAGATACCTGTAAAGCAGTATTTTCCAGATGACATTCATATTGTGTCACTGGTAGAATGCGAAGCAAAAGAATGGTCAGATGGGTCAAATTTAGTAAATGACATTAATAGTGTGTCATTGGTAGAATGTGAGGCAACAGAATGGTCAGATGGGGTCAAATTTAGTTGGGGAAGACTTTCTGGATTTGAATTTTGAACCAGATCTTGAAGCTGAAGATAGGTGCTTACCTAACTTTTATATCTTTATCTTGTTTTATGGTGTACAAGTGATTTTCCATATGGTGTGACCATGAATGATGACTTTGTAAAGAGCTAGATGATGGAAAAGAAGTAACTGTAGGAGAGATGAGGGTGAGAAGGAAAGGCCAGAGAGAGGGCCTGAAGTAGATAGGGACTTGTTCTTGGCTGAGTATTAGAGAGAAATTTAAGACAGTACGTTCCAACTCAAATGGTACTGTGGGTGAAGATAGCTAAATTCTCTACAGTGGATCCTTATAATTATATGGACATGTATTATCTATAATTTTCAATAAATAAGAGAAATCCAGTTTTGGGGTGCCCACCTACTCCATGGGAAAATAAGAGAAATGCTAAGGCAGGAAAAGTTGAAGAAGATTCCAGTTTATTTTGAGGAGTAGCACTAAGGGTTTCCAAGGCTTCAGGATTCCAATAGGAGATAAGTTCCTAGCAGGTGTTGGAGGTATTGAGGGGGACAGGGAGACGGGCGAGGGGCGGTATTACCAGGCTGCACTGATGAGTGACTGAAGAGGCCCCAGGGTAGGATTGGGGTAGTAACTACCATCCTGAGGATGACTGGGGCCATAGTTAGATTTAATCACCCTTTATCTTGATTACTTCATCAACCTTCTAACCGATTTCTCTATGTCTAGGAATAGTATGTTCTAGTTCAGCCACTGAACGGCCACTGGTGTACATCTACCTAATGTTAGCCTGACAACGGACTATTCTTGGTTTAACTAAAGTCCCATAGGTGCCCATTCCCCTTGAGAATCACCTTTCACAGTTAACACTTTTACTAATGGGATGATTGTGTTCCTCAGATTTGCTATGGTACAAAAATCCACTTGCCTAGGCAAAGGGCCTCTTCAATGTTAGCTTCATGTTGCTTTCTACCTGAACAGAGACCAGGCTTATTCTCCCATCATTTGGGTTTTACTTCTGTGACTGAGACAGCTAAATTTCTAGGGCTATTGTGCCAGTTAGGAGTAGTGGCTTTATAAATAAAAAACAAAACACATAATGGCTCAAGCAAGGCAAAGTTTTTTTTTTCTTAAATAAAAGAAGTACAGCCAAAACCAGTTTGGCTCAATGGATAGAGCATCGGCTTGGGGACTGAAAGGTCCCGGGTTCGATTCCGATCAAGGGCATGTACCTTCGTTGCGGGCATATCCCCGGTGGGGGGTGTGCAAGAGGCAGCTGATCGATGTCTATCTCTCATCGATGTTTCTAACTCTCTATCTCTCTCCCTTCCTCTCTGTACAAAATCAATAAAATAAAATAAAATAAAATAAAATAAAATAAAATAAAATAAAATAAAATAAAATAAAATAAAATAAAATAAAAGAAGTACAGAGGCAGACATTCCAGGGCTACTATGTCAGCTCCATGGAATCATCAGGGACCCAGGTTCTTTCCAGCTCTAGTCCTATCATAGGGAATGCCAGAGTACTCAGGGTTCAAGACAGCACTCCAACTGTCAGCTCATGCCCCAGGCATAAGAGGGAAGAAGAGGGTGAATAAATGCCATCCTTTCACACTGAAGGAGACCTCCCATAAGTTCTATGTTTTTTCATTTGCATCATCTTCTCTTGTTGGCCAGAAGTTGGTCACACGGTAATACCTAGCTGTAAAGAGGTCTGAGAATTTCTTCTTTTTCCTTCAAATTAAAAGAGAAAGTTTATATAGAAAGATACAGAGGTAGTAAAAGTGAGCTGTAGAAGAAATGGGCTAAGGAAATAAATTACAAAGGCAAAAGGCCCTGCTATAACGGGTTTGGCTCAGTGGATAGAGCGTTGGCCTGTGGACTGAAAGGTCCCAGGTTCGATTCTGGTCAAGGGCATGTACCTTGGTTGCAGGCACATCCCAATGGGGAGTGTGCAGGAGGCAGCTGATCAATGTTTCTCTCTCATTGAAGTTTCTAACTCTCTATCCCTCTCCCTTCCTCTCTGTAAAAAAATTAATAAAATATGTTAAAAATAAAAGCAAAAGGCCCTTGGAGTGTAGGAAAGTACACTTAAAAAGAAGATTTGAATGGGCGTGCTCTGGGGGTAGGAGGCGGGAGAGAGAGCCGAGAATTTATTTATTTAGCTAGGCTTTTTACTATACTAAATTAATTCATTATTCTGTTGCTGATGAGGGAGGGAAGAATGGAAATTGGGATAGACAACTAAAAATCTTTGCCACAGCCTTTTAAGAAGTTCTTAAAAAGTATAGGCTTTGGTTGGGGGTGTGTGTGGGGGGGAGATAAGGACACATATGTAATAACTTAATCAATAAAAGAAATTTTTAAAAAAGTATAGGCTTTGGGTCTATAAACATACTAAGAAAATTTTATAAAGGGACCAGTTACAAAATTGGTATGCAAAAATCAACAATATTGCTATCTATATAAATAATAACCAATTGTAAAATATATGAAAAATATACTAAAAGAAAATTCATACAGAGACATGATAGATACAAACATTAAGATAAGTTAGGAAATTTTACAAAATTATACTAAAATTTATTTAGAAAAATATTAAAATAGGAAATACATGAAAAAGAAGACTAATGAGAGAGAACTTGCTCTAACATTTTAAACAAGTTATAGTAGTTTGGACAATTCAGTATTAGAGAGCAAATAGACAGATTAATAGAACTAAGTGGAGTTTGAAAATTGACCCAGAAATTAACCCAAATATATATGGCCTTTTAGGACAGTGGTCGGCAAACCATGGCTTGTGAGCCACATGCGGCTCTTTGGCCCCTTGAGTGTGGCTCTTCCACAAAACACCACAGCCTGGGCAAGTCTATTTTGAAGAAGTGGCATTAGAAGAAGTTTAAGTTTAAAAAATTTGGCTCTCAAAAGAAATTTCAATCATTGTACTGTTGATATTTGGCTCTACTGACTAATGAGCTTGCTGACCACTGGACTAGGATATAGGTGACATTTCAAATCGGCAGCAGAAAGAAAAATAGTTATTTATACAGTTTACTATCTGGAGAGAATTAAGCTAGAACCTTACTTCTTAAAAATGTAAGGGAGTCAAAGGTAGAAGTAACTACTTTTGTGCTAGTTATAGCTAAGTCATGTTAACTGAATGGGTACACATACAATCCCGTTCTGTAAAGCTGGTGAGTACAACAGTACTGGGCTCAGGAAATTTCTCTTGCTACTCATTTTATGGTAACTTTTCTATAAATCCAAAAGTTGTTTGTATTAGTCATTTTTTGCCCCTTCTCCCAACCTTTTCTATACCATGTATTAATATAGCCACCATTTCCCCTAAATGTTTTTCTTGCCAAACCTCAGGTTCTTCCCCAACTCATTGTTAATGTTATGGAATTTTAATCAGCACCTCCTTACCATCCACTTCCTTTTTTTCTCCTTAACGCTCTTCCTCTGATAATTTATCTTACTCTTTTCAGTTAGCATATGCTGTATGTTTAGCATGTCCACCATAATTATTAACATCTTCCTTCTCTTCAATTACATTCTACAATTTCACCAGCTACCAAGACTGTTTTTGAGTGTTGTCAGAGCCATGTCAAAGCTCTATACTCTTCTAGCATTAGTTTCATTTAGATATGATATGGCCTCTTCACATACTTACTCTCTCTCATTTCAGATTGTAAGATGGGGACTGAGAACAAGGAGGTAATTCCCAAGGAAGAAATTTCTGAAGAATCTGAGCCACATGGGGCAATATTAGAAAATCTTCCAAAGTTAGTTTATGAGGGTCATGAGTTTGGAGTGGCATGTGAAGACAGTTTGGAGGAGCATTCAAGAGAATCCACAGAAGAGATTATGGAGCAGATGTCTCCTGAGGAGAGAGACTTCGCATCAGGGCTGATTATTTTTAAGAAATCACCTTCAAGTGAGAAACACCAGGAGAATGAAAGTGACAGAGTCTGCAATTCCAGCCCAGACCTGATTACACATCAGGGAGATATTACAGCACAGGCAATTAGTACATTTGCTATCTCTGGCCAAAACTTCATAGAAAATTTAGAACCTAAAAAAACACAGAGAAGTTCTGTGGGAGAAAAGCCTCATACATGCAAAGAATGTGGGAAATCCTTTAATCAGAATTCACATCTTATCCAGCATATGAGAGTTCATAGTGGAGAGAAACCCTTTGAGTGCAAAGAATGTGGAAAAACATTTGGAACGAACTCAAGCCTTCGTAGGCACCTGAGAATTCATGCTGGAGAGAAACCCTTTGCTTGTAATGAATGTGGAAAGGCTTTCATTCAGAGTTCACATCTTATTCACCATCATAGAATTCATACTGGAGAGAGACCTTATAAATGTGAAGAATGTGGTAAAGCCTTCAGTCAGAATTCAGCCCTTATTCTACATCAAAGAATCCACACTGGAGAGAAACCATACGAATGTAATGAATGTGGGAAAACCTTTAGGGTTAGCTCACAGCTTATTCAGCATCAGAGAATTCATACTGAAGAAAGATACCACGAATGCAGCGAGTGTGGCAAAGCCTTCAAGCATAGCTCAGGCCTTATCAGACACCAGAAAATTCATACTGGAGAAAAACCATATCTTTGTAATGAATGTGGAAAAGGCTTTGGTCAGAGTTCTGAGCTTATCAGGCATCAAAGAATTCATACAGGGGACAAGCCATATGAATGTAACGAATGTGGAAAAACTTTTGGCCAGAACTCAGAGATTATCAGACATATTAGAATTCATACTGGCGAGAAGCCTTACGTATGTAAAGAATGTGGGAAGGCCTTTAGGGGGAACTCAGAACTTCTTAGACATGAGAGAATCCATACTGGGGAGAAACCCTATGAATGCTTTGAGTGTGGAAAAGCTTTTAGGCGGACCTCTCACCTTATCGTCCACCAGAGGATTCACACTGGAGAGAAGCCTCATCAGTGTAATGAATGTGCAAGAACCTTCTTGGATAAATCTGAGCTGCTTCTCCACCAGAAAATTCACATTGGAGAGAAACCTTATAAATGCAATGAGTGTGGGAAAACGTTCGGCCAGCATTCTCAACTTATCATACATCAGAGAATTCACACTGGAGAGAAGCCTTATGAGTGCCAAGAATGTCAGAAGACTTTTAGTCGGAGCTCTCACCTCCTCCGACATCAAAGTGTTCACTGTATGGATTGATTTGCAAAATAGGAAGGCTTTCTGTGGAAGGCTGAAGTTAGACTTACTCATAACCTAAACCCAGTTTTTCAAGTCAACTGAATGGAGAGAACCTCTTCTCTCCTGATTTTAATTTAAACATTTGGTCAAATAGTATGAGGCACTTTTATGATTTATTCATTTAGAAGTTTCAGTGTACTGAGTTAAATTATAAAAACTGTTTCAGGCCTTAATTCTCTGCCCCTCTTTCCTTCTTCCTCCCTTAGTGAGTCACATACCATTAGGGGTTTGTATACCAGCCATCTGGCCTCAATTTGTACTCTTCAGGAAAACTGGAGGAATGTGATTTCTCCACTTCCTAAGAATGGGAGTCAACTCATTGAATGTTATCCCCTAAAATGCTGGAAAGTTGCAGCCTAAAAGACACACTTTGTTCTCTTGTCCAATATTTAACACTGGAATAATTTAGTAAGCTTTTATTAACTTCAGATTCTTTCGAACATGCTATCAAGTTCCCATTGAAGATGGCAGCATGAATAAAATGGAAATCTGGATACTTAATAATGACCTGCTCAAAAAGGTTTCCAGGACAGAGGAAACTGACAGGCAAATTATAGGGTCATAAGTAAAGGCCCTTAGAATCTAGAGGGGCTGGTGAGCAAGGCCAGGGGATGGAAAACATGTGAGGCCAGCATGGGCAGAGCAGCTGTTTAGCAGCTATTTCACATTGAGCTACTTTGACTGCTCCCAGGAACTTAGCTGCATTCATTTTTGGCCCCAGCTCCTGCTGCTTCTGATAGATACCACGTCAGGAAGTAGCAGAGAGCACGGTACAGCTTTACTATCACCGGACACTTGGCCACAGTTATGATCCGGTTCACCTGACTGGCCAGGGCCATCTTGCCAAAGCACTTAATACTCTCATGACCTGGATCCCAATGGACTGATAGGACTTTTCTCATTTTGCCCTTGGCCTTGGAATTCTCTTTCTTCAGCCTCTCTACATGAATTTTCTGTGTTCCTCCTATGTATTTTTCCTTTGAGGAAATACATCCTCATTTTTTCACATGTTTCTGAGGCAGTGGGTGGGAGTGGGAATTGCACTAATGGGGACCCTGCAGGCTTAGGGTCTGGTTTTAGAGCTAGATCACCTGTTAGTTCCTAATTTTCTCTAAAATGAGGGGAGTTGAACTAAATTATCTTTGAAGTTTCAATCAATCTAATAGTTCTTTGGTTCCTTTTAAAATCTAACTTTATATACCGTGTTTTATTTTAAAATTTTCCTTTATTACTCTAATACTAATCACTAGTATTTATTGTGTTTCCTACATGACAGGCACAATGCCAGTTTACAGTTTTATTTTCACAGCATATCTATGGTCTAGGCCAGTGGTTGGCAAACTCATTAGTCAACAGAGCCAAATATCAACAGTAAAATGATTAAAATTTCTTTTGAGAGCTGAAAACCGACTTTTGCGCATGGGCCACAAAGTTTTAATCGCACTGTACGTGCACGCCGGCGTGTGGTATTTTGTGGAAGAGCCACACTCCAGGGGCCAAAGAGCCGCATGTGGCTCTTGAGCCACGGTTTGCCCACCACTGGTCTAGGTACTCTTAGTCTTTTTTAAAACAGCTTTGTTGAGCATACTTTACATACCATAAAATTCACCTGTTTTAAATGTTCAGTTGAATGCTTTTTAGTTGGTTTACAGTTGCACACCCATCAATAATGAGGGTAGTCCTACTCCAATTTAAAAGATGAAGATGGGTAGGAGGGATGCTAAGTAATTACCCATGTTCACACAGCTGGTAAGAGCCCAAACTCCATCCCTGGTCTGTGCTTTTAACCACTGTGCTGTGCTGTGGCTAGATGGATTCATTACTGGCTTATTTGAAGTCATTTGCACATTTTATATTATTGCTTCATAGACTTGAATATAAAGGATTTATATTAAGTACTTTGGAAAATAACTGATCACAACCCACCAAGTGGATTTGTTCTGTACCCCAGTATATGATCTTCCAGATTCATACACTTGGCTTGAGAAAAGGGCTGTACAAATAAACAGTTGATTTCACAGTTTCCACATCCTTTCAGGTACTTCTGCCTGTAACAGTCAAATTAGCAGAAGTTCTTTAACATCTCTTTCTATAGGGTGATTACAAGTGAAGTGTAATCTCAAGCTCAAATTGAATTATAGCCAGATCATATCTTTCTCAGACGAAACCTCGATGTCACCTATCCCTTTAACTTCTGGTTTCTATGTTTGTATATTTTATTTCCACATTCAACCCTTACCAGCCCTTAATTTAGATTCCAGCACCTCTCCAGATCCCCCCCACTCCCAAGAATCCCCTCACACAAGCACATCCATGATTAATATGACTTTCCTGAAAATGCTGTTGTGTAAGAGGTGGAGAAGTGGGTTCACATCCTATCAGACATTTTGACCTCAGATGTCCCTTGGCCAAACCACCGCTGAAGTTTTTCTCTGTCCTCCCTCAGGGCTCTGTCACCTTGGCTCCCTTTTTATTTTTTCCTTCAGATATCCAATCCCTGTCCTCAGCGCAATTACCTTCTTACATTCACTGCTCAGCAAAAGAAAAGATCCGTCAGCTAACAATCCACTCATTGGGACATTCATTAGTAGGCAGTTAAGTGACCAACTTGCATGTACCTAGCATATTGGGGATAGGTCTCACATTCCATTTCAAGAAGGATCTTCCAACAAGAGGAATTCAGGTGAATGAAATTATTCCCACGTTGTTATATACACGATACACACATCCAGTGACCTCATTCCCTGCTATTGTCCACCTCCGTTGCCTCCAGGTTTCTCTTTGCCTCCCTCCCTCTCAATTTGGGAGTCAAAACCTGACCATAATTTTGACTGGTAAATCACAATTTTGTTCAAATTTTTGTAAAATTCTATCAAGGAAGAGAAAAAGACACGAATTTTATTAATTTTAAAACCAGTTAAAAAATCAGGTCTCATAATCTCAAAGGCCTGCCTAAATACAAAGACCTTCAGAATTTTTGCAGCTATGTTCACGTATGTTTCCATCCTCCCCTAATTAAACGGTTTTACTGGTATGTTAACTTTTGGATAAGTAAAGTATTTCTTCATAATTTTACTGATTCAACACCTTTCTGATGTTTATTCTAAAGTACATTGTTTCATAATGGTCTTAATATGATTTTGTATAATAGTCCCTATCCTGTGTCACCATAGTACCTCACCCTGTTGTGCTCTGTTAGTGTCTGGTTTTGCATAAGCTGATCACTCTGTCCTTGATCTTCTGTTCTATTTAGTGAGCTCCTTTACCTTTCATAATGGGACAAGTGTTAACCTATTTTTGTATGTTTGTGTGTGTGTGTGTAGTTTTTCATGATTAACAACTTAATGTAAGATATTCTGAGAATTTAGAGGGGGTTTTTTGTATGTGTGTTTTTAAAATATGTATTTTTATTAATTTCAGAGAGGAAGGGAGGAGAAGAAAAAGAGAAACATCAATGATGAGAATCATTGATGGGTTCCCTCCTACACACCTCCTATTGGGAATTGAGCCCCAAACCAAGGCATATACCCTGATCGGGGATAGAACCGTGACCTCCTGGTTCAACGCTCAACCATTGAACTATGCTGGCGGGGTGGATTCATTTTTTCTTTGTTTTAAATCACCTTATTACTGAGGTGTCTGAGCTGGTGTTTATTATTGTTATTAGCTAAGGTACATTTAAAAAAAAAAAAGTGATTCCTGGTCTAAGGCAGGCCCCTAAGGTTGTTAGGTCAGGGATCTTTGGAACTCAGGAAAGCTCTGCCTACAAAAATGTGCATGAGTTTCAGGGAATTTGTGGACCATCTGAAACCCATCCTTGAACCCCTGTAGCACTTCACAAGTTCCTAAAAGCAAAGTTTTACCTTAAAAAAACAACAACACACCAAGTAATCACAATAACCTTTCCCTCACTGGATCCTTCAACTTTTGGGATAAAATATGTGAAAACCACCTGCTTAGGCCAAAAAATGGACTGGGGTTGGCGTCCCAGTAAAATCTAGTGGACGGGCTAGGACGATCTGGTAATCACCTGAGGAGGGAGCCGCAGTAGTGCGGAAGGGTGCACGTTCATCAGCCACTTGCTGAGCAACTGTTGGGCAATAAGAGCAGTTCTGGGTTTGGAGGCTAAGCAGTAAGAGGCTGGTGAGGATATGAGCAATCTACCATCGACCTGATTGAGGTTGAGATCCGGTTCCCAATCAGGGCACATGCCCAGCTCGATCCCCAGTGGGGGGCCAATCAATTATTCTCATCATTGATGTCTCTATCTCTCCCTTCTTCTCTGAAATCAATAAAATTACATTCTTTTAAAAGTTCCCCATAAATATAATAGTTTCTGAGTCCTCATAAATACCTGTTGAGATGCAGTAAGCCCTGGTACCCTTCACTCCCCTGCACTCTGTCCTGACAGAGATTGCCTTATGTGGGGACCCGTAGTGTACGGTGCCTGGCTGCATGCCGCACTACCTCTTGGCACAGAGCTGACAGTTATTTTGCCTTCCTGACCTTTTCTTGTTTAGAAAACAGTAGTTTTCACCAATTAAGACCAAGGCAAAGAATGCAAGAGAAAATTGTAGTTAAGTCTTTATCACAGTAGCCAGCACGTAGGAAATGCTAAGCCTAGAGTGAGTTAAGGAGGGAGGGAGCTTTTCTGGCACAGTGAATAGTTGTGGAAAGCCACAGGCAAGAGACCAGTGCCTACGTCCTTTGAGAACTGCAGATAATTCAGAGGAAAATCCTCCCCAACTAGTTCAAACCCCACTGCAGTATCTTGCTTCTCCTTTGTGGCACTTACCATGGTGCTAATTTTACTTATGATTCTAATTAATCTCACCTCTGGTCCACCAGAGCAAAGATGGTTGTCTATTTCTGCTCACCCCTCTTTGTACCCTCCGCCCCCGGTGTCTGACACATATTGAAGCTCAATAAATATTTACTAAATGAGTGGACGAATGGAGCCA